CGGATATCCTCATTTCTGAGTCTATCACGTAGAGAAACTCCGAGCATCCGCCATCCGAGCAATAGGTGTGACATGGACATTAAACGTGATCTTTGTTTTGTCCATGTTCATCTTAAGACCTATCCATTGGAAGACACCATTGAGGTCAATGAGCATAGTGCTTAGGTCCTCCAAATTTGAAGATCTTCAAGAAATTCGTATAAATAGACATATAAAGATCAAAGTTAGCCTTATTTTTGCTTTGGGCCCAACAATTACCGGCATAGGTGTGGAATAGACATCTGTTGGGAGACACCATTGAGGTCAATGAGCATAGTGCTTTGGTCCTCCAAATTTGAAGATCTTCAAAAAGTTCGTATAAATAGACATATACAGATCAAAGTTAGCCTTATTTTTGCTTTGGACCCAACAACTACCGGCATAGGTGTGGCATAGACATTAAACGTGATCTTTGTTTTGTCCATGTTCATCTTAAGACCTATCTGTTGGGAGACACCATTGAGGTCAATGAGCATAGTGCTTAGGTACTCCAAATTTGAAGATCTTCAAAAAATTCGTATAAATAGACATATACAGATCAAAGTTAGCCTTATTTTTGCTTTGGACCCAACAACTACCGGCATAGGTGTGGCATAGACATTAAACGTGATCTTTGATATGTCCAAGTTCATCTTAAGACCTATCTGTTGGGAGACACCATTGAGGTCAATGAGCATAGTGCTTAGGTCCTCCAAATTTGAAGATCTTCAAAAAATTCGTATAAATAGACATATACAGATCAAAGTTAGCCTTATTTTTAATTTGGGCGCAATAAATTAACATTGGTTTGTATGATTTCACTTGAAAAATTATATATTTACATTATTCAAACTTGGATGCGATGACTTATAAGATAGATTTAAATTTTCAATAAGGTCATACGATAAATCTTGCTTCTTTGTTTGGTGATATCTAATATTATATATGAGTATATACCGATCAAAAAGGAGAAAAGTAAATACTAATTGGCGGACATTTGTTGTAGACACATGCGATAGAGTACCTACTAGATAGTTCTTCCACTATATTAACTCCACCTTTTGTATGAATTCATACGAATAAAACAATTTCGAAGAAAATATATTAACGAAAGAAATATCTACTTCATTCACAGTCAAATGTTTTGAATGCTGTTATCGTTTGGAAAGTTTAAATTTATCGCGATTTCTCTGACTCCGTGTCATACTTACAAATTTCTTCCGTATATTCAACGTTATCGTCTTCATCCGCTTTACTTTATTGTGCCAAACATGCTAAAGTTTTATAGTTTCTCCATTATTATAATATTTTTTATAACAAATTATTTAATAATAAGAATATTACTTGGTAATAATATAAAAAAAAAACTCGTAAAAATATGAGGTTACAGACAAAACACGCACGTAGTACTTGAATGCAATTTAATATTTTCGATAATGTGTGTCAACTTTATTCTTTAGTAGGAAGGTGCTTAAAGTTCTATGTCATTTAGATAATTTTAATAACACAAGCAAGTATTACGTTTTCGTAGAAGTCGGGCTTTCAAAGACCCTGCGCGACAGAACGAGATTTAAATTAAGCCTACCCTATTGAGTAACACGTAGCAACGTCTGTTTATCTTACAGTTGAATTTTTTTAAATAATTGTTATTTATCTATAAATTTCTAGTTTAGATAAGTCTTTTTTATAAAATTTAAATGACGAACGAACATATAGAACACCTAACAATAAGTGGTTACTGCAGAATATGGACACCCTTAACCAAATTCAAATAAGGGAAGCTAAATATGCGTTTCCACATCTAAAGACTAAGATGAAACGCTTCATTTCCACTTTAAACGAAGAAAATGCAGTGTCCACTCCGAGGATTACAATTATGCCTCACACTTTGTTATTAAAGCCATTCGATTACTACAGTGAGCACAAAGCTGCTTGGCAGCAGAATTGTGTAAGACGGTGATACCAGCCCAGAAGAACTATAGATGAAAGGTGCCCATCTTGGAGAATAATATTAAATGTGTTATTAAAATTTTGTTATACTGCGGTCACTTCAGAAATTATTTCCTTTCACAAATTATGTGTATGCAAAGCAATATTTGCGGTCAACAGTACATCACTCCCTTCACTATTAGACGTAACAACATCTATAGTTGAAATAATACTAGTTTTTACGGAATTTATCGCGTATATTTAACTTTTTAATTACCCGACGTTTCGAGCCATACTGTGTATAGAAATACTGTGTATAGAAAAAAGACCCATACAGATAGATATTTAAACGGTGATTCTCACCACCATCCTTCACAGTTAGCTACCGTGGGTAAATCTTTGTTTCAGAGAGCACGAGGGATCTGTGACAGTAAACACCTGGCTGCCGAGCTCCACCATGTCAAGCAAGTTTTGCATGACAACAAGCTTCGGGTCCCGCGCCTACGTCACAGAGAACGAGTGAAGCCGGCCACAGTCGAGCGTGTACCTGCTGTACTGCCATATGTTAGAGGAGTTACTGACAAGATTGGCTACATCTTGAAGCGCGCTTCCATCAAAACATACTTCAAGCCGCCGAAGAAGATTGGTCAGTTTTTACCATCAGTCAAGTGTAACGTCCCTCTGCAAGATGCAGGAGTGTACAAGCTTGATTGTGAATGTGGTCTCTCCTACATAGGACAAACTAAAAGACCAATTAAAACCCGCGTCAAAGAGCATATAGCTGATGTGAAGAATCGACGCTCCGGGAAGTCTGCAGTCTGTGAACATATACAGGATCGCCCCCCGTCACTACATCAGATTTGATAGACCACAAATCCTCGCTAAAGAACACCGATTCCTTCCAAGGATGATTCGCGAGGCTATTGAAATCAAAAAACATCCTAATTTCAATAGAGAAGATGGCTGGGTGCTACCATCTGCTTGGGATCCTATAATAAATAAAATTAAATCCCAACCCAAGCATACAACTGCAAGACTCCATGATACCATAAGTTCATACTGTGTAGATCAGAACAAAAGTTAAATTTTAATCTATGGTAACCGCGGTTAACTATGACAGCTGGACGTTGAACATCTCAGTCCTTCCCGTGACCATGGGTGCTGTAAAGCTCTCGAAACGTCGGGTAATTAAAAAGTTAAATATACGCGATAAATTCCGTAAAAACTAGTATTATTTCAATGTGTAGTGTTCGCGTAAATATAAGAAATCATTAAACATCTATAGTTATATTTGATTTTTTATTTATTATGTATTGAAAACTGTTAGCTCATAAGAGCCGAATTCTACAAATCATGAGCCGCTAACGAACAATATTGCAACCACAAGGGAATCGCAGGTGCGTTGCTGGCCTTTGTATGCCAAATTATCAATATATACTTTATATGCAAATAGTTTTGGCGCATTTTCCTCACTTTACGATTATATATTTACATGTTAAAATAAATACTGATTTACAAAAAAATTACCTAATTTTTTCAAATATACGTTTCCTCAGCATCATTTATCGATCACAATTAACAACGATGTTTATAGAGAGGATCCACAAATAATGTGTTGTACTGAAAATTTCAACTTCGGTAACGAGCTCTGTAGACTACGGTATAATAAAGTCAAACGAAAAGTAGAAGATTAATCTAAAACTGGTCACTACACTACATCACTTTTACTATCAGTTGGGAAAGTACTCAAGTACTAGCTTATAATAGTTATAAAAATGAAACTCGACGGGTATTTTGTACGGTTAATAATGAAAATAAACGTTATATGATAGGAATTAACAGGCTTATATCTTTAAAAATATTAGCGGTCGTTCAGGCATAACCGTCATGTCATATATTTTATTTTAGTAATTTGCGGCAATAAGCTTTGATATTTGTTGTATATTGCTTGATACATTCGGTGTGGACATTCGAATTCTACACCGAATTCGACCAAACTCGTAACTCGAAAACTAACCAAATTCGAAAAGGTGAAGACAATTCGAAGACGAGTACGTTTACCTGGGACAAATAGTCCGATTAGGTAAGTCCAACTTCGACTGAGAGGTCAATCGACGGATTCAACTCGGCTGGGCAGCTTTCGGGAAATTACGACACATCTTCTCGTCAGGTATACCTCAAAACCTGAAAACTAAATTCTACAACCAGTGCGTATTGCCAGTGATGACCTGCGGAACCGAGACGTGGTTCTTCACTGCTGGCCATATGAGGAAGCTCAAAGTCGCTCAGCGAGCTATGGAGAGGGCTATGCTCGGGGATTCTCTGCGTGATAAACTTAAAAATGAGGATATCCGCAGTAGAACCAGAGTGACCGACATAGCCCAACGGATTAGTAAGCTGAAGTGGTAATGGGCCGGTGATATAGCTCGAAGAAACGATAACCGATGGGGAAAAAGGTTCTCGAGTGGCAGCCTCGTACCGTAGGCGAAGTGTAGGTTGACCCCCCACTAGATGCAGTGATGACCTGGTAAGACATGCAGGAAGTCGATGGATGCAGGTGGCTCAGTACCGTGTCTTGTGGCATACCTTGGGGAGGCCTATGTTCAGCAGTGGACTTGTTAATAGAATTGTAGTCTTCTAGGCACTGAAATTGGTTTTGTTATTCAAGCTGAAAGTTTTGAGGACCCTGGATTAGCGCACGAGGGGTACAGAGCGTTGACTTCTTAGACGAGACCTCTCCGACTTAACGTTTAGCTTCAGTGCGCCTCTAACCATTTAGTCATCACTGCCGTGTGAAGTGTACGAAGTCGGTAACTAAAAAGAATCCTGGATTGCAGTGCACTAAATGTAACAAATGGTTACATGCGTCGTGTGTGGGTATATCTATGGAGCAACTAAATGCGCTCCAATCTACAGACTCTGTGGATTGGAAATGTCGCTCATGTGTAGGTAATGCAAGACCGAAACGCATCTCTTGCATCGTACCGGACCCAGAGGATGACGAAAATAATGACACCGAGACGTTAACTAACTGCGTGTCAGCTGAGATCATCATGGAGCTCCGACGAGAAATACGAGAAACGATCCGCATAGAAATGCAACAAATGCAATCCACTCTGCAATTCTACTCGGATAAGTTCGATGATTATGAGGTAAAAATGATGTCTTATGATATACGAGTCAAGATGCTCGAGAACCAATACAACGATCTCATAAACCAAAACAAAAACCTAAAAGTACAACATGGGGCACTGGAGCAACGTATCACGGTTTTGGAGCAAGCACAACTTGCTAACCAGCTTGAGATTTGTGGCATCGCGGAGGAAGAAAACGAGAACCTAACGGATATCACCTCAAAAATCTGTGATACTTTTAAGCTCAATCCTGATAACATCATTAAAGCGTACCGCAAAAAAAGCTTCAATAAAAAAACTCTAAGAAACCGCAGCCAGCAGCTATCGTGATCGGACTCCGTGAAGGCAACCGAGACCAGTGGTTACTTGCCTCTAAGAACACCCATAAGACCTGCAGGGACATTGGTAAACAGGGTAATAACAAAATATATTTCCGTGAGTCACTCTCATCCCACATTGCTTATTTGCTATGGAAATCCAAATCTGTTCTCAAAGAAACTGGCATATATAAATATGTGTGGTGTAAAAATGGCCATATTCTAGCACGCAAAAATGAGAACGAAAAGATTACCAGAATCCACTCAGAAAGTGATATTGATAAACTGAGAATCATGTCAAAAGATGACAAAAATGCATCCACTTGAGCTCTGTCCTACGTACGGTTGTTTTACCTCTATGTTACTTTGTGTACCTACCGACCTATGTAATTATAAATGGCTTCAACGGATGATTGTTTTCAAACAATACAAGAAGATACTCATACAACTTGGAGCAATTTCATAAATAGTGTTGATTATCGTAATAGTAATCACCTAAATGTACTCCATGTAAACATTAGGTCTATGATTAAAAATTTTGCCCACCTAGAACATATAATATCTTCGAGCCCTCATCTTGTACATATTATTGTATTGACGGAAGCCAACATATCCGATAACTGTGTAAATCTTTTTCATTTGACTGACTATGACATGTACTCACAACTACGACGCTATCGGAAGGGAGGTGGTGTAATACTGTATGTGCATAGCAGCCTAAGATTCACACGAACACTTGTCGATACTGCTTATTTCGAGTGTATTACCGGTGAAATTCATTCAGACTACGGTCTTAAACTAGGAATTTGTGCAGTGTACAGACCCCCGGACTTGGACAAGTCCCGTTTTATTGACGAACTATCGGGTGTTGTTAACTTGTGTTCGCACACATATAGCTATATTTTATTAGGCGATATGAACATTAATATTAAGCAAAAAACGTCTATTCAAAGTCATTACTTGAATGTTATGAGTGCACTTGGACTGGATTGTGCAATTACTCAATACACCCGTGTGGAAAATAGAGATAATTGTTGAAAAGTCCTGTATTGATCATATTTTTGTTCGTATAAGTACTGCAGGGATGTATATTCTTCAGTGATCGATTATAAGATCGCTGACCATTACATAACTGGCGTAGTTTTACTTCACAACACGCAATGTAAACAAAATAATTTTAAGTTAATAACAAAAATTGATAACGACATGTTAAAATCGGAGTTATTGAAAATAAATTGGAAGTGTGCTTTAAAATTAAATAGTCCGTGTGAAGTTTTAAAATTTATTACATCCAACTTTAGTGAGGCATATAAGAAATGCACGGTTAAAACTAAAATTAAATTAGGGAAGAGACATGAATGTACTTGGGTTAACAGTAGAATGTTATATATGTGTAATAAAAAGTTAGAACTATTTAGTATATGGAAACAGGACGAAAACAACAAGCAAAATAGACTATTGTATAATAAATATCGAAACAAAACTAATATATATATATATATATATATATATATATATATATATATATATATATATATATAAATGTAGAAATAATTCAGTTAGAAAAGAGGTTCACGCCAGCTTTAGAAATAGTAGAAAGGTATGGCAAATAATCAATAATATATGTGGGAAAATATGCAACGCTGTAGATGATGTAATTATGAAGCACTTTAAGTTGGATGTTCGTTCATTATGTGATAAATTTGCTTACGGATTTGAGGAAAATGTAAACAATAGCTGCGTAAGTTGTAATGTACCCTTATTACCCCATACTACTTACCAAAGAGTACCTGACGTCTGTATGAGACTGAAACGTGTTACTGATAGGGTTATATTTGCTATAATTAAACACATGAATAAGAGGAAAAGTCCTGGTTTAGATGGCATCAGAATGAGTGACATACAGAGTATAAACTCTGAAATAACACCCGTTATTACTCATCTTATAAATCTATGTATTTCCACGTCCTCATATCCCGATCCATTGAAGACTGGCATAATTAGACCTATTCATAAAAAAGGATGTTACAGTGACATAAATAACTATAGGCCGATTACAATCCTACCCAGTATAGACAAGATAGTTGAAAGGTATTTATGTAATGAATTAAATGAATTTTTGTCGAAAAATAATATTATTAACAATAAACAGTTTGGTTTCATAAAGGGTCGTAGTACTACAAAATTATTATCAATTTTCACCGATGAGGTCAACAGGCACCTGGACGCTCGCGAACATGTGCTTGTTGCACTCATCGATTTCAGCAAAGCTTTTGACTGTTTACAATATGATAAGCTATTTTGTAAGTTCGAACAGAATGGTATACAGGGTCCTCTGCTGGGATGGTTCAAAAATTATCATACTAATCGAAACACGCTTGTTCGCGTGGGTAAATGCCTCAGCGACAAAAGACCAACTCTAATAGGCACGGCCCAGGGGTCCATAGTCGGACCCACTGAGTACTTGCTGTACGTAAACGATATGATCAACATCCTTGCGGAGGACTCTGTATACCAATTTGCTGACGACACATGTTAAAAAACTCATAATAAGGCTGTCACCGAGGCAGAGTATGCAATGCAACATAACTTTGACAATTTATGTAAATGGGCACATGATGCAGGTCTGGTGATTAATGCTAGTAAAACTAAAATAATTCACATTCACTCACCTTACATGAAGGTTTCGCACGTAGCCTGCATAACAGCGCACGAACACCAGTGCCTGCATCGTGGGCCAGTTGCCGGCTGAGCGTGCCCGAAGTTACAGACTGTACCGCAACATACATACCTCGGTCTTATCATAGACCAACACTTCCATTGGGGACCTCATATTGAAAATGTCGCTAACAAGCTCAGAAGCATCAACGCCAAATTGTCTATTTTGAAATATAAGTTACCTTTCTACACGCTACGTATGCTGTACCTCGCTTTGGCTGATTCTGTCATAGGTTATGGATTGTCTAGTTACGGACGAACCGTATTTGGATACTATATATCGGCTACAAATAAGTGTACTTAAAAATATTGCACCTAGGCTCATTAAAAGTAAATACAGGGATGATGACTCTGGTTTGTTCCGACATTGTAAAGTTATGTCGGTCTTCGATAAAATTAACATGTCAATTATATTGGACAAATACCATAGTATTAACTTGTTGACGAAAACCAGTAGGCAAGCCGGATTGCGGAATCTGGATTACTTACCAACTTATAAATTGCCAAAAACAACAAACGTGTACGGAATGAGAACGTGGGAATACATACTACCTGATGTAATCAATAGTTTGCCGAAAGAAGTCCAGTCGATCGTACCAGTGAAAATTGAAAAATGTAAACAAATTCTAAAAAAAGTTCTATATAGATGGTAATTACTGATAGGTAAATGTTTATTTATATAGGTATATGCATAGCGAGCGAAATCTCCCCCACTGTCGCATAAACTTATATAAGTTTTAGTTACGTGGATACTTTGTAATTTTTTTTCTTTTTTATTTTTCATGTAATTTGAACAATAAATTAAAAAAAATTTTTGGAGGAATGCATGGCTCTAGAGATATCCTCACCTCCTCATTGGGATGTGCGGAGCTTAGTGCGGAATTCTGTATGACCTTAGGCGAATACCATTTGTTTATTCTGAAAAGACTCCGAGAGACATTTAAAAAGTATTATTTTATATAAATTTTATCATCATCATCATTAATACAGCTTATTACAAGTCCACACCTGAATTATAGTCGTCACCCGAAGGCTTCTTTATTAATTAATGTATGTATTATTTGAAAAATAAAAATAATAATTTTATTTATTGTTCTTGCTACAAAACCACAATGCCTTATTAGTAGGACATATAAGATAGCTACTAGTGGTCGAAATTTGACCGTAGTTTCATTTTAACTCCACCTTTATTTAAGTATACACTTACATAAAGGTGGAGGATAAAAAAATATAAAAGTAAACGCTTTTTTCTTTGACAAATAATCCACACATTTGAAATCATACATAATTCACTGCTCATTCTGTTAATCTGTCAGTAATCATCTGTTGGCTATACTTTAAAATTCTTTGCCGAAAATCTCTACTCTATGCAGTCGATTGATAAAACACTATTGCATGTTTGATATTAGCAGTATGAACGTAAATATGGTCGTAAATCGCCATCTATCGGCAATAATTGGCAAATATTGATATTTATGTATTAATTTATCGTTTAAGTGAATATAGTATAGAAATAACCGAAATATATGGATTTAAATTCTAATAGTTATTTGTAAACATAAAACCGTTGTTTATTAAGGTTTGATATTTAGTGGACACTGTTTTGACTGAAAATTTTAAAGACGTTTGATGCTTATTTTATTGTTAAAATACTCATTTCAATGTGTAAATATTCTAATTTATGTCTATTAGAATTAATATCATTATTCTGTATCAAATTTTAATATTTTACGCATTAGGTCTAATGGAATTTTATTCGAATCTTGCTTGCAGCGCCATCTTTCTACGGAATATGTTAACCTAAATAAATATATAAAATTATATTAATCTAATGTTTGTTCACATTAAATTAACAAATATTTATATAATATAAATCACTGGCATTGTATTTTATGAATTATTTTGTTGAACCTAATTGTATTTGTTTGTTATAAGGCGGCTCTTCACGTTGGCCAACATAGTGGTGTCGCAAAAATATTAGCCAAGAGTTTGTGATTGCGTCCACACGTTGGAAGGTCGTTCAGTTTGCTTCGGTTCAGAGCGGACAAATTTATTAAAATGGATATTGAAGCGCTAACATCTGCTGCGGCTTAACTGTTCACAGCACATCGCTACTACATGTATGTGTTGTGTTTAAGAAATTTTATTTTAATTTATTTTTAGTAGAATTTTTATTTCATTGATTTTTATTTCTTGGGATCCACAAATAATTTTCAGCTTGGTAGAGCTCTATAAAGCGAAACTTTTATTCATTGTTCATTGTTATTGCCATTTTGTTGACAATAGTTGCGAAAC